CACAACAAAGGCCTGGTCTGTTGGGGGGGGCCACACTAGCTGAGCCCCCCCCCCCAGCAGACCAGGGACACGGGGAGCAAAGCCGCAGCGGCGGGGTGCCTCGCCTCTGAGGCTTTGCTCTGGCGCGGGACCCGCTTTGCTTGCGGTGCCCCTGGTCTGCTGGAGACGGTCCCCAGCAGACCAGGGTCACCGCGAGCAAACCCGCAGCCATGGCGGGGTCCCGCGCTTCTGAGGCTTTGCTCTGGCCTTTTGTAAAACCATGTTGTAATTTGTCCCAATTGCCATTAACCTCAATGTCTCTAACTACTTTCTCCTTCAACATTTTTTCCAAGACCTTGCATACTACAGATGTCAAACTAACAGGCCTTACCCAGACACCTGGAAGATGTCACCAGCCCTGGCATGGCTACGGGTTGTTGATCTTTCCCATGCTGAGTGATATAGCTAAGTCAGTCTAACTTTTACCTGCAGACCAGGCCTCTGCTTGGCTCACATTGAATGTTTGGCCTTGCCTCTGGTATCTCTGAATGAGAAAGTCCATGCCAGTAAAAAAGCCAGCAAGAAGAAAGTCCTATATTAATTTATTTGTCTTTTAGTGTGTGTATGCAACTCTGGTGTATAATCTTCTATTTTGGTTCAGAGAGGTAGGTCACATTTAATGAGTTGGCTATACCTTCAAGTTTTTTTGTGTCCCTTCTCTCAGGAGAATTTAGAAGAAATTGTTTGTACCTTATTAGACATTATCAGTGTTTTTACATTTAATTGAAATACATATTTTTAATTCTTGGTTCAGCATTCACAATTTAGTTTAGCAACTGCTTCATGAATTTTACCAAACCAGAGGTAGCTGCTGATTTATGAAGGCCATGTCTGTCTCAGTTTAGCTAATTTTCTGGTCAAAATCTTTTTCTATCTTTAGAAAATGTTGTCATTTGTGATTCCTTCCAGTATTCATGATCTACTGGAAAACTAACATTCTAATGTACCAATATCCCTTAGAGCTGTGGTGTCCAAGATGCTAGCCACTAGCCACAAGTGGCAATTTGGCCAGTTGAGGGTGGCTGTTTGTCTTTAACAGTGTGGCTATTTGGCTGGTTGAGTGTGGCTAATTTGCTACTGCTATAGTTTGCTAGAACAAGAAGGCTACGTCTACACTGGCCACTTCAAAGTAAGAATAAGATCCTCCGGAAAAGGGCTTTTTTTCCGGAGGATCGGGGCCAGTGTAGACGCTCTTTTCCGGCTTTTTTAAAAGCCGGAAAAAAGCGGCAGACATTTTTATTTAAATGCCGCGGGGGATATTTAAATCCCCTGCGGATTTCCCTATTACGGCTTCTGAAATTAACATGCCCCTTCCAGAAAAGGGGCCAGTGTAGACGTAGCCGAAAAGAATGAAGAGGAAAGAGCAGACGATAACAGCTGACACTACTACAGCATGAAGTTGTACCTACTGCAGCCGAACATGCCTTTCTCGTATTGGTCTATTGAGCCACACAAAACATTGCAAAAAGTGACCAGTTTAATGCTGCATCCCACCATCTTTCGAGACATATGGAGGCCATGATGAGTTTGCTACTATAGTGGTTATTGCTTCAGAACTGGTTGGACACCACAGCACTAGAGAATATGGTTAAATCTATATTAAGCATATGGTAAAATAGAAATTCACTATATGGAAATATATTTAAAGAAAGCCTGCTTAGAAAATAAACATTTGGGTTACATCTAGACTGGCATGATTTTCTGCAAATGCTTTTAACGGAAAAGTTTTCCATTAAAAGCATTTGCGGAAAAGAGCATCTAGATTGGCACGGATGCTTTTCCGCAAAAGCACTTTTTGCGGAAAAGCGTCCGTGCCAATCTAGATGCGCTTTTGCACAAAAAAGCCCCAGTCGCTATTTTCGCGATCGGGACTTTTTTGCGCAAAACAAATCTGAGCTGTCTACACTGGCCCTTTTGCGCAAAAGCTTTGCGCAAAAGGACTTTTGCCCGAACGGGAGCAGCATAGCATTTCCGCAAGAAGCACTGATTTCAGACAGTAGGAAGTCAGTGTTCTTGCGGAAATTGAAGTGGCCAGTGTAGACAGCTGGCAAGTTTTTCCACAAAAGCAGCTGCTTTTGCGGAAAAACTTGTTAGTCTAGACACAGCCTTCGGGTTTAAGTAGGCTTTTATGTAGAAGCTGAAGATCATTGTCATAAAGCAATTTTCTGTTGCCTTGAGATCTCTTAATCAAGCAGAGATACTTCTTTAGTACGATTCACTAGGAATCATGTTTTCTGAGGGTGTTACTTTTGAAAGCAATGAAAATATAGGAGGAAAAAGTGCCATGATAGGGAGAGCATATGTATCTCTGCTATATTTAGGCTGCTTCACAAATAACTATAAACCAATTACTTAATTTTTCATGTATTATTTTATTAACAGGAAATATTCTTAACTGGAAGCTACCAAGAAAAGTTATATTCCTAAATTTCACAACAAGAACATGTTGTTACAGTTTGGAATCTAAATCAAATAAGTCTTTGTTTCAGTTTCTCTTTTTATACATTTTGATATCACTTCTTATAAACCATGCTACATTAATTTTGGCAATGCTCAATGCTAATATTACAGCATTGGATTTGCACTTTGTAAATAGTTTTATAAATTATATACAGTTCTTGGCATTGTTGTATTTCTGTCCTGACAAGTGGAAATGGAATTTGTGTGTTTATTTTAGCCTGAAATGTTTATCCTCAGGAAACACTGTTTGTTGATTTCAGGAAATCGAAAGACTGGAGAATAAATTAAATCAAAGCCCAGAAAGGTGGCAGCTCTTGTGGGAAAGGCTCACCGTGAATCGTAAAGATGACACGAGACAAGACAATGTAAGTGGTAGAAGCATCCAATGCTGAAGTGCTCATGTGCAATCGATCACCATATTGGGTAGGAATTTTCCCCCCAATCAGATTGGAAAAGACCATGCAGGTTTTTCATTTTCCTCCACAGGATAGGGCACAGGTCACTTGCATTTAAAACTGGTATAAATGGTCGATGCTCCGTAACTTGATTTGAATAATTCAGTTACTCAGTGAGAAATTCTGGGTCTAATGTATTACAGGAGAGGATAAGTGAGGTTCTGTGGCCTGCAATGTGCAGTAGGTCGGACTGGATAATCATGATCATGATGGTCCAGTCTGGCATTAAAATCTATGAGTCTAATAATAAATCAATTTCAGCTATAAAGACTATCTGGAGGAGTGACAAAATAACTGTATTTGTTGAAATATTGCTTTCTAAAAACAGAATGTGGTATTCCCCATGCTGCTGGCTTTGTATTGCTGCATGCAGAAAATATGTATTCGTATCATATTTACTACTTCTGTATGTTGAAAGCACATAACTATAAAGCAATTAGATATTTATAAAGCTTCTTGGAGCCTGATCCTGCAAACATTTACATATGAGTAACTTGCTTATGGGAGTAGTTCCATGGATGTCAATGGGATTACTCACATGTATACATTTGGTTTTGACTCCATACATTATAATCAGCCTTTCAATATCCAGGCTTTCAATATATTTTACAACAGATGGTTAATTACACCAGGTGAGGAACTGATCTTCTACATATTATAGATTCCTGAACACATTTTTGGGGTTTAGCAATTAATTAAAACCAAGTCAAACAGTGGCAAATATATTTTAGGTGGAAATGTTAAATAGTTGGGTGGGAGTATTGAATATAACTATAAAATGTGCATAGTTAAGCACTTTATCCACCATACACAATTTCATCTACTATAGGCTTATATTTACTTTCAATCATTGCTTATGTTTAATATTGCGTATCTTCTGTTCAAGAGAATAACTGACTCTGAAAATGAGTCTTTAGCATAACACTACAAAAGCTTTGTACCATTCACCAGGTTCTCAGTTTTTGATTCTTGGATCTTTGGTTCTAGACTTTGGGATCTCCCACTGCTTCCAAAACATTCCCCCTTCCTCCTTGTGGGTAGCTGGAACAGAACAGAGCATAAGCCAAGCCCCCTATTTGACATAGCACATTACACCCTGACTGTAATATTTGGAGGATAGCATTCATACCCTTCAGGGGACCAAACAAAATATCTAGGGGTATGTCTACACTACCCCGCTAGTTCGAACTAGCGGGGTAATGTAGGCATACCGCACTTGCAAATGAAGCCCGGGATTCGAACCAGCGGGGTTTTAAAAATGGCGGCGCCCCGCTTATGCAAATGAAGCCCGGGAAATTCAAATCCCGGGCTTCATTTGCAAGTGCGGTATGCCTACATTACCCTCCTAGTTCGAACTAGCGGGGTAGTGTAGACATACCCTAGTAGAGGTCTTACCTCATGCTCTACTCTGCTACTGCCACTGCCCTCAAGGGAGTCAATTTTTTAAGAAATGCTGGCATTCTGCCAGTCATGCACAAAGGAGCTAGGGCACAAAAGTAAAAATTCTGTCAGATCCGAGAAGCTGAATTATGGATAAGTCATTTTTTCTTGTCTCTTGAAGTATTTACTTAGAGATTCAGCAAAAACAATTAATTCTTTTAGGGTCTGTCTACACTACAAAGATAATTCGAACTAACGGACGTTAGTTCGAATTAACTTTGATAGGCGCTACACTAGCGTTCCGCTAGTTCGAACTTAATTCGAAATAGCGGAGCTCTTAGTTCGAACTAGGTAAACCTCATTTTACGAGGATTAAGCTTAGTTCGAACTAGCTAGTTCGAATTAAGGGGTGTGTAGCCCCTTAATTCGAACTAGTGGGAGGCTAGCCCTCCCCAGGTTTCCCTGGTGGCCACTCTGGCCAACACCAGGGAAACTCGTCTGCCCCCCTCCCGGCCCTGGACCCCTTAAAGGGGCACGGGCTGGCTACGGTGCCCGTGCCAGGTGCAAGCCTGCCAGCACCCAGCCAGCAGA